TGTCTAGATAAGATGTTTGATTAGTGTTAAAATCCTTAACCATGTTTCACATATATATTTTTTAATTTCCGTTATAGTACAGAGATTCCATTTCCTGTCGTAGTAGCCGGACCACTGTTAATTTCCAGGAATCCACTAGTTAATTTGGGCGTAGATAAAAATACGCTGGGTTGCTGATAGAGGAACATAATAGATAGCTGACTTGAACGGCGCAAACCAATTGAAATTTTTTTGGCACACTCCGTATTACCATAATTCTGTCTGTAATAGTAAAAAAGATGGTTATTTACACATTTACGTCCGATTGCACCCGCCTTTGCCTACGTCGTTTTAGGTATAAGAAAACAATTACCATTTTCACCATATATCGACTGAAAAGCATATGCTGTTGTGGTACTTTTTCCAGTGTAGATTTTCGAAAAACGTCGAATACAAGAATACGCCAAACCAGATCATATACCTATACCGTCTCACGTTTTCCGCTTCGATCCACTTGCGTATGTTACTTGTTGACGGGCGATTTTTCGAGATTCCATGGCTCTTTGAAGAGTACGTGATGAATAGGTTTCTTGTAGTCGTCCTCCTACGCCACATTGCTGTAGGCTTCAAGCACTCGGCATGCCAAGCGCAAAATACGTCGGCTAGTCTGTATCCACCATGTAGCCCAGGCCGAAATTCCTCATTCTAAACTTCGTCCGGATAATCGGCTGGACGAAGCTTAGAATTCTTCTGTAGAGGACTCTGCAGAGGATTATGTTGTTTGGCTTAAGGTAGCAGCGAAACAATTTTTACTTCTTTCAGAAAAGCTAGCGTGTCACAAATCACATTTGCTTTGGTGTGTGTAATACGAATGAGGCGCCGAGGGTCATAACGCATAAGCTGGCTGCAAGCGATTCGGTCACTGGGCGACGCCCAGTGATCGAAACGCTTGCAGTTTCATGATATTGATGAGCTTATTGTGTCTAGAGGTGCGCAGGTTTAGGTATGTGATCCTAATTTTTTTGTTGTCGGAGTTCTATATCGGACGCTCTTATTAGAAGCCAATCGACCTATGAATAGTAACAGCGTTAATTATGAGTTATATGGAAGTGCGGCGTGGCGAGCTGAGGAAAGGAAATCGTGTCCTAACATGGTGCTAGCTTGTTCGATACAAAGTGAAAAATGTACCAGTCGATCGCTAGGTTCGTCATGAGAGGGCTCTTCAGCAAGAGCCATCTGGATCCAGCTTTGATCCGCTTTTCGAAGTTTGTGTTGCCTTCCTTAGGACAGACCTGCTTTAGCAGTCCTATTTCTCGATGGTCACGTGATTGAAAGCACTGACCGTGGCAAAGCGCTCGAAGCTCCATTGCGCGACACCTTACATGGATCGTTTACTGACAACCATGATGGGGATTTCATGCTTCTCCTCAAACTATCACAGGTTCCACAAAACTAACCTTCTGAAATGCTGAGTGACTCGGCGAATAAGCAACAAGCAACTGACGGTACGATGATTATTGAGAACTAGGTCTTTCTTCTTACTCTGATTGTTATTCCTAAGAATGATTATGATTAGGGTCCTCCGATTAGGCCCTGTGACCCGAATCGCCAATTAATACCATTATCATTAGAGTACAAATTTATGGTAGTTACTCCTTTCATTTCAGTACACGAACAATACGCAATTCCAGAATAGACTAGGTAATAATCATAGTCACATTTCAGAAGGCATCAAAACGGTTCCTTCTAGCTAATCAAACTAACTTGTAGCATCTGCAATTTTTTTTGAACTAGCGTAGTTTGGTCAACACGTTTATATTTACCAAACGTTTACATTATCTAATTAGTAGGAACGCGCCTTTGGCGTCTAGTAACCGATTGCCGTCAAGAGACAACTTATGTCCATTTATGTGGTCATTTGCGGTTACCGATAAATAGGCGTGTAGCTAGAGTAAACCCCCTGTTCGACCATCACCTTCGTTGTATTCGAATAAATATTACTTATTTAGAAAATAATAATGACAAATTACGCATATCCCGTTCTTACTAAGATGCATGTACAGGTTTATGCGAGTTGATTGTTGAAAGTCAGGTAAAATGAGGAGGCCCATTTGCTATTTATTACCCCACGTAGTTCGTCTTCGCGTTTGAGAGGTTAGCTGGCAGCTAACAATGCCAATAATACTAGAAAAGGACAGAAATTCGAGGAGCTATCGTTTCTTGTAATGGCAAGCTTTTGCTACGCAATGTTCAACGATGGGCAGTCAACATGACATTGGTATAACGTTTTAGTCCACGTTAACAAGTTCTCCTATAACTTACACTGACATTTATTTTGCAAAATAGATCGACAGCTCTACAACAATAATACCCATTTGATCGCCATGCGATTTCGTAGAAATTTGCCTACTAAATGGGGGATGCTCATGCATTAGCTAACGTGAAGGCCCTCCTCTACTCACTCGATGTATGATGCCTGCAGAGTGAATATATTTTAGACCACGGAGGATCTGATAGATTAGGAACTGTATGTGCTCCTCTTGTAGTTTCTGTGTCCTAATGATGTTGTTCAGATCCGAGCCCATTTTATGATTGACGAGATAAACGTCCTGGAATGACGTCAAATCAACGGCTGGCGAAAACAGATCTAGCAGACCAATTACCTGTAAACATTAAACACATTAAATCGCCAATAGCGTTTGAAAGTTTATTGTAAAAGGGAGTGTGGGCGAGTCAAGCATGCAAAGGTTTTTGGAAAGCTGCCTATACAATCTGCATGTCAAGCTGGTAGCAGTTTCTGAAGTTCTCCTTTCTAATAGTTGTGTTATCTTGGCCTCTTTTACAGGATGAGCAAGTTTCGATAACCGCTTTTTGATAGAATATTAATTTCAAGAATAGTATCGCTGCCGACCAACGATATAGAAACCCATTCCGTTAATTGAAACCACTTACAGACCGGCCTGCAAATCTACACACTTTGTGGATCAATGCTAGTAATAGACTAGTTTAGAATCAGTGAACGTACATTCTCATGGTGCATATGTCGGAGAAGGTAGATTTCGCGATAGGTCCGCTTTGCGTGGACGGCACTCTGGAAGGGTCTTGATAGACGTTTAATTGCTACGGGTGTATTCCGTTGAGTGCATATTGCAGCGCTGTAACAGAAGTACAACAGTTGAACAATACGTAGAAAATTGATAACAAAACACGTTTTTACTGTCGCCGTCCGATGTCAAATTCGGCTGTTGTTGCACGTTTTGGGCTGTTGATCATCCGACGTGTCTTGCAATATAAGTTTCCAAATATTTTTTAGCTAGGTTTAGCAAACAAAAAAGAGCTTGCTCACTTCTGGACTAGGCTTAGGAGAAAGGACGAACTTTTTTCAATAAAATTACCTATTTTTTATATTATTTTTCAGGTTTTTTTTTAGCTGAGTTCCTTAGACAGATTGCTGGCAACGGCTAAAATTTACCAGCGACCATCTACTATGACCTTTTTTCGAAGTTTATCAAGTCAACGGCCTCGTATCAATACAGAACCTAATGATCTATCGCATAACATCATGCAAATGACGTTATGTGGCCTATTTGAAAAGAACTATCTCTACCAAATCGTGCTTTTTTTGCTTCATACGATTATATAGATATTTTTGTGTTTTTTATGTTAAATATATATGTATATTAGATTATAATAGTAACTATTATTATTTGATCATTGTTTAAATTAATTACATTCGACCGCATTAGCAGCATATGCTCACCTTCCGAATGTATGTGGGATATTTTCACTGATAAGCATGCGTTTGAATAGAGCTTGCCCTAAAAATCTTATTATACTTATCATTTTAAATTCTAAAAGAATTCCCAATATATTTTTAATATACATAGTGACTATTATTTCGCCCAAAAGCTCCGTCCAACATTATACGAAATGCTCTTAACGTCAAAACGTTACATATATAAAAAACGTATACTTCTTTTACTTTTAGTTGTCAATCCGTCTCTCGCTAAGGTAGTATCGTCGCACTGCGCACGCGTCTACGTAGTCGTTTTGTTACAGAACAACCTGGGCGCATTGAGTGAAGCGTATGAGAGCCTATTTCAACACGACGATATCAATCGGACTGCGCTGTCCCGCTAATTTATCCGCAAACCATTATTTTACTTGAGCGGCAAGGACCGCTCCGTAGGCACCTTACCAATCATTATTGAACATCAATGAATCAGACTGCGTTTGAACGCCTATAGGAACATCTCTACATGGATATCATCGAAATTGCAATGATAAACACCTTTTTTTCTATATACTGCTGATATATGTGAAATTCTCGAAGTTCACACGATGCGACACCATGTATACACTACGAAAAATTATTTCGCCGACCTTGTTTCTATTGCTATCATCATCGCGTTCATCGCAGTACGTGTCTAACAACGATTTTACAATGTACGAGACTCGTTTAACTTGGCATGATCATTTTTAATGGTAGTTCTAGTAGAAGTTGCTTTCATGATATAGGGAGAGCAGAGGGAGAACCTTAGACGAAGCTTTGGTCAGCACTGTCAGTATAGCGTGGCCTCCGCAGCGTTTTTGTCAACTCCATTCTTCTTAATGGTCTAGGTGATTATTTAGTACAACGATGCATTACTGGTGAACTTTGGGGTGACGCCAATATAAAAAAGAAACAAAACCCGAGAGGATGGTAACCATAGCGGAGAAAATCGTCCTACACACAGACCTTAAGTATAGCCACAAACGACTTCATCGATCATCATTAAATAGATTTATCTAACATAAGGTTAAACTAATCAATCAAATCTGCCATACGAATTATCAAGTCACGATGGTACCTTAGTGGTTACAGTGGTCGCAAGGTTCGAATCCAGGCATAGATACATGGGTGGGCTAATTCTAAATATAGGTATATCGATAGCGAAACGTTGGTCTAATCAGAGGTTCTACTGCTCGTACGGCACTGTATTCTTACCGCAATCGTCGTGTTATAGCACGAATAAACTCAGATATTGTATACGAAGTCCACTATGTAAACATAGGTATAGAGAGAGGCCATATTTGGTTATACGAGATTCAGAATCCTGTTGAACGGTTTACGCGCAGGTGGTGCTAGCTTCTGGTAGACGAAGTGGCCGTCGCTGATGATCGCCGCTTCAGTAGTTGGTCATCAGCAGTAAATATTTGTACCAAAAATGGTGCATAGTCAGATCGCTATCGTAAGGCGAACGCACGTCCGTGAAATTCTCGCAGATTACTACTGTGTGTCGAGCATGCGATGTCGGTAAAGCGGAAATTTTCAGTAAAACAGAACATGTACTAAACGTAAATCGGCCCCTAGTACCCGATTTTTTTTTCTTCAGATGCGTATGGTACAGCATAGCGGTGCTCGTAAATATGGAGCCGCTGGAAAATCCTGGGTAGAATTTGCATTATAAGCGAATAGAAACACGTTTGTGAAGAGTGCTCACGGTGTAATTTTTCAAGTTTTGACATGTGCAGACATCTGGCATAACAGAATTTAGCTAATTATTTAGGCTTACATCGTATTTCTGCGCTAAAAATTAGGGTTTTGTTTATGCTTGGGGTGGATGTGCTGTTAGACGCATCGATTCGTATCCCTCCGAAGGCTGTAGATAGTTCAGGTCGATGGATGAATAACACAAGACAATATTGCGCAGATTGAAATATAGCGCGCGGCTGTTTGCGGCCCTTTGAAATCTGAACACCTTACCAAGCGGTATATTTTCGATAAGTGCTCTTGTCGATGAAACTATGGACGGGAACGGGTCACTCAAATCGACTGACTCTAAGATATACGTATACGCTCGAGTATCATATGCGTCGTCCATTCCAGCGATTTTTTCGCGAGAGTGGCTGCCAGTAAGTAGCTCGTACTGGGCGTGAAGCAGTCTTGTATTACGGAGTTTGGTCAAGGTTGCGACCGGGCACTCGGACATGTTTAGCCTCGAGTTAGTTAGCAGAATACATGCCTCTAATGATCATTCGTTGACATTAGTTACAACAAAAGAACGAATAGAACTCCAAACGAAATCTGTGCGGAACGTCTAGTAAAGTATGCTTTGCGTGTTAAGTTTTGTTTAGTGTTGGTCCTTTTTAGCGTCTTTTAGTTCAATACGGTTATTATATTTGTAGAGAGCGCAATTACCGTATGTTAGCTAGGTTTCTCATAGCTAACAGAAATAGATGAAAGCTTAACAAAGTGCCAGTGCCTAAACAACAAAGCAATACGGCGTAATAAACATGCTTAGTACCGACCCGCTTCTAATAGCGGCCCAATTGTACTACTGCTATCGATATGGCAATTTCCAATTATGAACTAAATAATGACGCAAGCGGTCATGTTATCATGGACAGATTGTTAAGTAGTACAGGTTTCAAGGGAAAACAGTTTCTGAGGGCGTTAGTGCCGCTTTACGGTTCCGACGGCTAGCTATACTGCATCTCATCAGAGAGGGTTAGTGTGACATCTATCTGAAGGTAGGTGTAACAGCCACTGACGACCAATAAAATTGAATAGACTTTACTTTTTCTTGATCCACAGCTCTTCATACTAAGGGTAGCGGTGGGGGGGACAGGGGGAGGTCTATTTTCGTTCCAAGCAGTAATTGTCCCAACAAAAACTCATCATCATCATCATCATCGAGGGGCCTTTTATTAGCTCAATTTCATTTACTACGTTCAAAAAATTTGCTATTTTCTTCTGGCTAAATCACCAAACAGATTCAAATAGATTCGGTTAGGCCACTGGCATGTTTTCTACCGGCTTCAAGACAGGCTTTATTAACGCAGTGAAATTCAGTTATTCGGTATTACGTCAAGGATTCGGTAGGGCAACTAATCTGGTCGGAGCGATCTAGAGGATTTATGCAGAAGCAGAGACCACAGTACAGAAGCTAGTGCTCTGATTTTGTTTCTCGGTCGATCGAGATATGCCTGCCTTCGAATTCGACCTCATTCTCTGAGAAGCTTGACACTTACCATTTTTTTCGTGAGTGCCAACTGTGACAGTCAGTAATAAAGTAAGGCAATCAATTAGAGTCATAACAAAGAGCAATGCATTCTATTCTGGTTGGTCAGTTAAATTCATTCATCGTAGCGTTGGAAAACAGACGTGGTATTACTCGTACAGAGAGGAATGGGGAGGACTGGCCAGATCGTTCAAAGATTTTTCCATAGAAAGCTACCACCCGCACTATTGACAACAACGGGATATTTCGCATCAAAGTCAACATCGATGATGACGGCACTCAGAATGACCTGGGTCAAGTGTAGCACTTGATAAATTGGTTCGATGATTTTCGGCCAAGATAAATGGCTTAAACACCGATGTTCTACATAAGAATTTTGAATCAGCCAGGCCATGCACGAGACTAAATTGTTTACTATTTTAAGCCCGGTGTTGCTTTCGTGTGTGGAATATAACTAAGGTTAATAATGGCATGTGGACCGCGGATGTTTTCAGGAGACGTTTACGTGCGCGTCTACGTTCTCTACGAGCGTAAGCATTCTCAAATGAAATATGAATCAAAATCCGCGCAGTAAAGCCTTAGCGTATGGGTCTCTGGCAAGCAATTTAGCGGTAGAACACGATCGGCCAGCGAAACGCATACAATAGTTATAATAAAAGTTAAGTGGGGATATATTTTTGACATAAAAAAAGGCGCAAATATTCGTCAGATTCTGGTGGAGGTGAGGCTATCAATAATAGTGAATCATAGGCAATAATATTTATTCTGGGGGCAATACTAGTGTTGAGCACTTTTAGTTCTTCCTTAAAAGAAGCAAAGAAAATATAAGCATGAGCGGTCCCAACTGCGGCGGGACAATTATGTCTCTTGGCGTGCTCCTCGTCTTTGTCATGCTTCCAGCCTTTAAGTTCGCTAATCCCATAAGGGAATTAAAAACTGATTCTTGAAATAGTATACATTGCCTGCTGAACCGGATGACATAGACTTTTGAAGGAACCTCTTCGTTTGCTACAAACAGACAGGGCTTGCTGACTCGTTTTGCTATTATTACAGAACGAACTTCCAGATTACTGAGGTTATGAAAACCAAGGTACCAGTCAAACGGTCTTTGCTGACTGCGCCTTCGATCATTCGGGACCACAAATAGCAAACAGAATATTCACTCCTTGTTTCGATCGTTTCGAGGTAGCGGCGCAAAAAACTGTTTACAATACATTGCTTTCCTTATAGCTGTGTACCAGGGGGTAGTGTGTTGCCCACATCTCTCGGAAGCAACTTTTTTGACATCAATATAATTTTATACCTGTCTTCAATTTACCAAGCAACGTTCATACAGCGGTGCCGGCTAGGTCATTAATAAGCATTTTACTGTTGGCCGTTTACCGCTTGCGAAGAAGAGCTACCGTAGATTTCGCTCGTCAACGACAAACACTATTATAGTTTAATATAAAATAACCGAAACAGTTTAGTCGATATAATCTAACGGTGTTCTGTTTTCTTATCTGTTGCTGCCTTTCTTCTAAGCATAGAAGAACGCGCGTATGGGTTCTGCTGGGAAGTAAATAGCCGTTAGATACAGAAATCAACACGAATAGTGACTTGTTGGTGTTTGCTTATCACAAAAAATCTCAGTTTTGCATCATTCAATATATTAAGAACGGTACGGACGAAGCGAGACGTCAAGGCCCCTGAGCAAAATGAGGCCAAGGTCTCTAGTAGAAAAGAAAATCTGATCTCCGCCGGCGTTTAGGGACGGAGATATGAGAACACAAAACTGCCAAAGGCGTGGATGTTTGTGTTTGAAGCGCACGCCCAACAGGAAGATGCCCTGTATATTTTTAAGAACATGGATGCCTTCTGATGCTGTTTTATAAGTAGACATAAGCAAATTACTTAAGCAAACACGGCGATATTATATATATATATATATATAATTGCAGATAGGCTTTTAAAATGGAACCTAATTTTTTTTTTTGGTACAGAAATGGGTAGGGTAATAGTTTGTAATAGCTAATTTAGTAAGCTGTCACTTGTGGATCCCACCCAGGCACCGTGCAAGTGGGCTGTATCATCTCAACGTATTTTCCTTTATGTAACCAGAACCCAAGGTAATGTTGTTTAGATAGATGTTACAGCTTGTTTGAGATATATATATACATATATAAAACTATAGCTGTTTTCCTATACAAAAGCCGACAGCCCCTGTTTAGAAAAATCACGCAGAGCGCGGAAAAGCAGTTATGCACGATAACATTATGCTTATCAATGAGACAATAAGTCACACGAAGCTATTTTATTTTCTAGAATATACTACTCTCCCCCAAAACCGACTGGTTACTACTCAGCTAATCTGCTGCAAGCTAAAAAGTGTTCCTTCGATTGGTATAAAGATTTTGTTTCATCGATTGGTAATATAAGGTAGTTACTGCATGGCTTGCGAAGCAACAATCGTCAAAGATCTACGACACGATCACCGTTTCCGAATCCGGATCTGTTTTGTATCAACAAAGAACGCTCTGACTTGGAGGAAATGCGTTGGGAACTTCGATCGAAACGCGTCAGGCAGCTTTATTGCTGTTTAATGCCTCTTCTCCTCCCTCTTCGGCCCCCCCCTGAATTGCGTATGGTGCCAAAGATCAATTTAGTACCAATCTAACGCTGTCAGTCAGCTCTTTTTGTTTACGAGCCAGTAACCATAATGCGTCTGAACACGTCTGACTGATTCATACTCGCTGATCAATGGGTTGTGAAATGCTATTGTGAAGTGTTTTACAGCCTGTCTGTGATGTCTGTGAGTGTCGACGAAGTGTATTCGTTCGAAAGAGAACAGAACAGAAAGAGTAACGACGATTCTCAACGTAGCCCAATATACGTACGCTATCTGGTCATTCGATTCGAATCTGGGGTGATAATCTTCTAATGGAACGATTACTGCTATGCCGAAGGCAACGAAATTGCTGGCGGCAATGATTTTTTAGGATGTCCGAACTAAATACCATACTAACATGCAGACGTTTCTACGCAATCGAAAACGAAGGTGTCAATAAGCCTGAACGCCTGATGTTGAACCAGCGTTTTCTTATGCTATCACACTGCACGCTGTTGGCGTCGACGATATGATGTCGATTTGCTCAGTTTGGCCGTGGCCTCCACAACGTGGGCGAGCGGCAGAGAAACTGTGAGATTTGTACGGCTTTTGTCATTATGGGTTTGGTGTTGCCCTCAAGTTTTTTATGGCTGTTAGATGCTGTCGTGTATCTAATCGAAAATTGACTATCTCATAGTGTACTTTCAAGGCAAATAAATGCATAGGTAAAAGTCCGTATTGTGACTGCTTGAATAATTAATATGGCCACTGTCTGTAATACTTCTGGAATAACTATAATGCCTGTTGTAGTTAGAGGCAAATGTGCCATATATGTACATTTATGCACCAATAGCAATTTTTATCGTCTGATAGCTTGCCCGGTTCGACCAGGCCCGATGCATCACTATATATATATATATACACGTTTCGTCCAGCGCGTAGGTTAACCGAGGCCCGTGTGTCTAGAATTCACCTGTCAAACAAACACATCTGTACATACCGCAGCTACACCATTAAAACACTACACAGCATGAAAGACAGTGACTGTAAAGCCCAAATACAAACCTTTCATTACCCGTGTACGGTGGCAATCTCCATAGATACATGCGACTAATCGTTGACAATTTTACATATGCTCTATATATATATATATATATATATATATATATATACATCCTTTTGCATAGGGTTATTCTGCCTGTACATTTTTCATCCGGAGTGATCTGCGCGTTACATTTTACCCGTTTCCAGTTATTGGGGCTTACCACAAAAGTACTCACCAGACAAGTCCATAGGCGCCGGCTCCGATCAGCTGTAGATTGGTGTAATTCGCCGGGACTTCCCATGTCGCCCTATTGATTGACACTTTCACGTAGTTACGCCGCAACATTTTTGCCGCTGAGCGTTGGCGCCGTCTGGCTTCTCCTTCAGTCCGTGTCTCTGGTGTCCCTCTATGGTCGCTTCTTGTGATAGGGCCTCACCGAAGTTAGTTTCGACGCATCCACTCCCTTTGATCACAGCTAACAAACGAGATGAGCCTACTTTTTCAATTAAGCTTGCAACAAAGCTAGCTGTTCGGCTCGGTAAATAAATAATCTTACTTTCAAAAATGCTTTCAAGTTTTTACAATTTTTTCAAAGTCGCGATCTCTCGGTCTACAACTCTGTATCGAGTGGAATAAGGTTAGGGTCCGCTGAGGCAGGAATTTTTCGTTTGTTGGTGCCGCAGACGATTCAACACTGTTACCTCGTAGATCTGTCAGCACGTAAAGGGTAAGCTGTTGTTTCCATTCGCAGGTACAGCAAAAGGACAGAACAGTTAGAGAAATTATGGCAGATTATGCAGGATATCTGTTTGCTTAAACGTGTCGTGTCAATCCGTCCTGTGTCCGGGTTGTTGTTGACTTGGATACATTCGATGATCCGGTGCAACTTTCTAATGGAACCTAATCGTTGACAAGATCTAGCAGATCTATGATTCGAAATACGCGTAGAGTAGAGAGTTCCACCGCCAGTTTAAATTTTTGCTAATGACTATCTGGGACGGACGATACTAGCGTGATGGAGATTCACTGGGGCAAACTGACCAACCTGCGACCGAGTGCAATCAACAAATCGTGGCATTTTTAGTGAACTTCACTCGGTACAATGTGTTCCTTGCCCTCTTTCAAGTTGCACGAGTGCTATTGTCAAATATGCTTCGCTCGGCCACTGTGAAAAGCAGTGTACTTCAAACGTTCGCAAACTGTTTGTCTCCTTCATAACTTCAGATAACTTTGAAAAGCTCGACCACACACTCGGTTACTCATCTAATCCGAACCGTTTCCTATACGGGAGTCACGCGCCACTACTTTTACTGCGGCCTTCGCCAATACTCGTAGGATTTTTAACTAGTATTACTATTGACGCGGCCCATACTCTCGCACAGCTCACACTGGCAAACGTGACACGGTCAACGGCACTACACAGTCACGCGTCGTCGGGCTACCAGGCCTCTACGCTAGGGCAATCAGAACATCACCAAAACACATATAATTCCAGATGCTGTTGATTATCATCATCGTCGCCGACTGAAGACCAATCGATGCCCTGTCTACCTATTTGACGGAGATGAAGTGTCAAAATGTAGTGTTATTTTCGCAACCCTATCAGATACTCTATGACGGTGGACGAAGCACTTTCCAAGTGCTGCCGGCTTCTCACTGGCGCCTCTACGATCTACATATTCTAGCTTCACCAGGTTTCGGCGATGTGCTTTGCTCCTCAGTCAACTGGTGGGTCCATTTAGTCGGATAAATGCTTGGCTAGCCTCGTCCTGGGTTAGACCTGGGTTGGGTTGTTTTGTCGTCGAGTAACTGTTTGCGACTACAACTGGCCGGACTCGCTAGCTGTTGATGATATCACTGTAGGCCGAAATTGTCGTGGCCTGAAGAGCGACCTATAATGTTGCAGTCTTTTGCCCCTTTGCTGTTGCTCTTTGTGCAGGCAGAGGTAAATATAGAGGGAAGGCCCGTCGTTTCAGCCGCTCTGATTACTACCACTTGAAGTCGTCAGCTGCCACCTAGGACTTTGTGGTTATTACTGGAAGCTCGTCGTTTTGCCCGTCTGTCTGTCCGTATGGCCGTGCTTGCCTTGCAGCCTGTTCTGCTGGGCGTTCCTACTGTTGATGGTGCCCGCTATGCCGGTGATGGCCATATCGTGGCAGTGGTTTGTAGAGGTATCTTTCAGCTGATGGTTGCGGATCGAGCCGTCATTGTAGTCCGGTATGGTGGGGTTGCTCCGGTAGCTTCGAAACAGGCAATAAGTGCAATAAGAGCAACGACATCAAATGTTAACCATAAATGAACTGGCGGGTAAGACACCGTGACATTAATGTTGTTAGCTATGAGAACATATAGCGGATTAATGTGCTCGTAGTCGTCCAAATGGTAATGGGTGCACATGTGAGTTTGACAAATCACGCTAAACACATGAACAGATACGGTGCATGCATATTGTTAGTTGACAGCGTTGTCTGTAGCTAGAAGCGATCCCTCACTGTAGCTCTAAACGTTGCTATCTCTCAACGCACGTACACGCTCACACACACCCACATATAAAAGCCCTGGCAAACCAGTTCTTCTTACTGCATTCTCTAATCTTTGTTTCTCGGCGTGGCAACTCCTGCGCCTGTACTGCTGAGGCAGCTGTTGACCCTGGGCTTGTACTAGCCTTTAGCTGTTTGCTTGATTTGTTCCGAGTGTTCAGCTGCGTCGTACCGCGGACGACTGCTGCATTACGGTTTTCTTGGTCGAAGTCGCTGCTATTCTTAGTACGGTAGCAGCTACTACTTCCTTGCCGATTCTGTTTACAATGCTGCGACTGCATTCACCGTTGTTGTCGACAAACGCTGTCACAAAATCGGGGCCCTTCTCAGCTAGGGCATACAGAACAACATCGGCAACTTCTTATACAACGAACAACTCTGCTATCCGTAATAGAGGCGAACGTGAACAGGACGGACGACAACCACCGGCGCGGCTACTGACTGTCGAATCGTCACTGGCCGTTGTTTTTCTCCTCGCCGCAATGGTGGCCGCCTGGCCATTTCGCAGCTGGTTGGGATCCGACAACCACCCAGATTGCGGCTACCCGACCCAACTTTTCGTAGCCACCGGCGCAGTAGTAAAGCGATACACGTCTACGGCATCAATACACCGACGGGTAACAACAGCATTCAACACGTTAACAGACTGTCGAACACAGACGCTCATTTACACTCACAGATGTTGTACTCACTTACCCACCCATTGTTCAGTAGTAATCGGTAATGTCGTCGCGGCGGCAGTGAACGCGAACACGGGGCCTATTTGTCGTCGCGGTGGCAATGGCGGCAGCGCCAACGCCTCATACAGGACAACTAACGCGAAAAAAGCAACTAGTGCGGCGATGATAGAAGTAGCTTAAGCTCACAAGGCATCAGCGATGACGGCCATCGTCGCGCAAAACTCAGGGGCAAAGGGCCAGTTTAAACGGATTCCGATGGTCCTGCATCCCGACGTCAGGGGCAACTGAAGGAGCGGCATATAGTGACGCTGGTCGATACGGCCAGCAGCGCTGTGCACAGAACCGACGATGATAACGACCCATTTTGCTGAGGGGCTCTCACTATTGACGCAAGTAACTGCCATTAGATGGCGCTGTTACTTATCGTTGGCATATTTCAGGCGCCCGCGGCAGGCGGTAGATCTCGCTGAGAATGTCGTCGGATAAGGGGAGAGGTAGACAGAGCAATAGCAACAGACTTAGCGGGTCTATACCCGAATGTGTGGGTGCGCGCAACGTTAACGCTCTCTCATGCGGCGCGAACAGCTATGCACCGCGAGAGTAAGCTTCTTTACGCTTTGTTTGGATTTCAGCATGAATATGGTGGTGGCAGCGGCACCAAAAGCGTTAGAAACAACTTTACAAGAGTTTATCTTAGCCATGTTATTATCGTTACTGTTGTGGTCATTTGAAGCCGATTGAAACGGCCAGCGAGATAATCTAACCTCGGATGTAACTATTTCGCTCGGTAAATGCGCGGAGTCGCGAAAAGGCAACGGTCTATTGTAAGCAACCCTACAACGATACCAATACGACAATGAAAAGAGACTATTTTTCTTTGGCAGGGTGATACGGACGTATTTTTGAGATGATGTCAGTGCCAGCAGTCACTCATTGATGTCGTTGCCATAGAACTGCTAGTATCATGTTTATGGTTATATTTAAGGATAGATATGAGGACCGCTATTGGCGTTAAAACACTAACAAGAAGGCGGGTAGAATTCCAGGGTAGAACGTTGATGAATTGGACAAATTCGAAAGACCATATTTTCAGGCGTCGAAAAACCATGTGCTGAGGACGTGAAACATATGTCTAGTTTAATCGTTGACCCCTGTTAGAAAAGCACGTCTAGTACGCATTGCCATTCACCTTTATCTACCCGACATCATTCCCTTCTGAACAAACTTCTGATTTTAAAATTTGGGAAGTATTCAGTTGGTCAAAGTGAAACAAACCGTCTTTTTTACTTAAGGAAAAAATCTTCGCTTGAACTCTAGCAGCAGATCGGTCATTGCCGCGGCTCCGCAAGACCCCTATCTGTACCTCAATCCATTGACTTCGTGTCCACAAAAATTTTTAGAGTCAGTGCTGAAGAACCCATTCAGGCAGTTCGTGGAATATGTTTTTTATTATTAAGTGTAATAGCAACAATTCCATTTGGCAATGATCGGAAATAATACGAACCTGTTAGTGCGATATCGAAAGGATAGAGCGACTGTAAAAAACCTTTACGCAGGACGGCTTTTATTACTTTCGCCATGGGTGTTTGATGCTGTCACCGGGCCTTTTCCGTTAAATAGCTGCATTTAGTCGCTGCAGTTGGGCTTTATGTAGATCCTTGTGGACTGTCATACCTTTCTCGGAAATTCGCTAGGCTGTAAAACCTTTTTCGTCCCGTCAAAAGCGAATCGTGCTCTTTTTCCGATAGAGATCTGCTCTTACTCTGGACTTAGGCGTATGTCCAGGAATAAAAATTCCTTTCACCGTTTCCTATTGACATAGAGACCCACCCTCTCATCACTCGTAAAAATTCTGTGTAGGAACCTGCCATTGTGACCAGCCGAGTAGCCGAGAGATCTCTGCCGTCGCGCCACCTGGTGCCCTGTAAAACTTGATAGAATGAAAAAACCTATAGCTGGTCGAATGTTTGCAACCCATCTTCTTGTTCTATTAATAAATTGTTTATACTTAGCACAATACGTTCAGAGCAGTGTTCTTAGGTAGAGATTCAGATGGGTAATGACTATAATGAGTTATTATGGCATTTTCAATCGGACTTTGTCATGATTTGTACCAATGAGTCAACCAGGCTCTGCTAGAGAAACAAATATTATTTTAGATATAATTAGAAATATTATTTTGAATATAACTAGAGAAACAAATAGTCATGCTAGCAGCCTCATAGTAACCAAGTGTTTTTACATGTAACTTTTTACATAAATACAAAAACACGTCTATTTCAAGACGAATGAATAACTTTCCTAGTGGACGATTAATCATTTAATAACGATTTGTCATCCATTTTGATTCGAGATTGACTTGGCGTTCATACTCAAATTGTAGTAGTACGTCGACAAAGACGACCTGCGAACCTTCACCTTTGGAGAATAGGCCCAATATCGTATCGTCATGTGAACACCGGAACTAGCGAATTCATAGAACTTTTTTTAAGCAGGTCACTATTTTTTGTGCTTTGACATTAGCAATTTTGTTAGATCCCTGTAAAGCAGAAAAATTCTAGCGAAAAAAAAATTTCAGCAATCCATGCTGGAACGACTTGTAACTAATGCAAGATCTAGTCAAGGGTAACATTCTACGTTTGACGCTTATCGTTCTCGCAAAAAAAAAACCTCAAAAACAACTTAAAAAGCAAAATCTCACTGAAGACCCACTGTTAGTTCTAAATTTATTGATTTATGGCTAATACATTCAATCTAAAACATGGGACACTATTCGGTGTGCTCGACTTCCGCAATAACGTAAAAATGTCACAGCCATTCCTGTTGATGCTAACTCGGTCATGCTCGTATCGGCTTTCGCCAGAAGCATCTCTCAGCAAATATATAACCTCACTAATTTAATAATAAGATCATGACAAAAAATAACAAAAGTAACAAGAAACCAACTTGTAAGCGTAAATGCGAGTCATGGTAAAATTAAGATGATAACGAACGCCTCTTGATTCTGCCAAAGTATTGAATCGGTTCTCCGGATATAACGTGTGATAACGTGTAAAATCGTAGTAAAAACTTGAAACATTAAGTCAACATATCTCAAGCGCGGCATTTCTGAAGTTCATGCATTCCAAAGAATGCCGGTATTACGTATTTTACGGTAGTAATGCTTGGCATAACATTTTGAAGCGTTTATTTCTGTTTGATCCTATATTTCATAGAGAATTGTGTCTGTGTTTCGACAGTTCTCGACGATAAAATTAGCCTAGAGAGAGACGAAAAAGCTATTTCAATCTGTATTCGATGCGGAGTGCTTTTTTCTGGTAGCGTGAGCTCGTTAATTTTCTTGTTAAACCTCCAGCACCTGCTCCTTTGCATGTTTGCTAAATATAAAATCGTTCTAGATAACGTAAGCTAAAATCGTATTGTATCTAGAGGAAACTAGAATAGTCAGTCTGTGTCATTTTCATTCAACGATTGCAACAGGAGTTAGTTGTTATCAGCCGGAAACAGCAAAAATGCTATTTTCCTAGGGCTCCGTTGACTCTGCCGTTGGCACCTCTAACGGTGACCGTACCGAGCACGCCGTCTGTTAAATAAACAACACCGACAGGTTAGTTCCTTACTGTTAATATTCAGCATCTGCAATTTTCAGAATTATCGCACATTTTTTGCAAAAATTACCCTGAGCGACACCCGAATAATGCTTGCATAATCATGCAATCTAAAAACCCTTTTCAAATGTTTAGTTTTTCTTCGAAGCTGCCATGTTGGTTTTTTTCAGACGTCACTAAGCAGTTTCGTCGAAGGAGCGCAAATAATTTGCCACTGTATAATGTACGTACCAACTATTCCGCCCACCCCCGAGAGTGTATCGTCGATAACGCCTATAAGGCCACCGGAATTGCGTGCTGCATATGACGTTGTTTTCACCTGGACCACACTTTTGTCGGCAATCAGGACGACGATGAGGAACAGGGCCACAAAATTGGCTAAGGTCGACATACCTGGAGATATGTATGTATATATATATATACGCAATCTTTTTTTCTGCTGTCTGGAAAGGTTAAACTCACTGCCATACACTGTCTAGAAAATGACGCGGAGCCATTGATGATTACATACATGGAGCAGCAATATGTGGTACCAGCTTCATGTATTTTTAATAAGGATTTTTTAATTCCACTATAGTTAGTGTATCATCTGCTTTTGGCATATGCTGACTACGTTTGCAGTAATTCAATTTTTACTCGGGCATTAACCGGACACCATCAAAAAATTCAATTCTTTATTTATGGCCGACTTCCGACGCCGCCTGCACGCCGCTAGGTAAGCGGCTGTTTATCATGCCACACTACCTGCCAAATTCTACTCCTAAATACCATCGTTCAGGGTCGACTTCTACTACGTACTGTTGTTCAGTGTTGCCTGATGTGAAAATTTACGACTGGCATCACAAACATTACAGAATGTCAATTGTAGCCCCGATAATTGTAAACCTTCGATAAAGACCAACACATATTTCGTGTTAAACGATACAGTCAAATGGCCGACCATAACTAGGCTTACTTCATCCTTCAGCTTCCTGTCTATCTACACTTCCTTGCACACGTCAAAGGCAAACTTTTGCATTTTTGAGTCAATCCTGGATCTATCTGCTATTTTTAACTATTAGCTGTATATATATAAATAAGCAAAGTTTTTCAAAAAAATTTTTTATCCAAAAAAAAAAACAATCAAATTAATCAGCTAGCTTGTTCTATGACCTTTATGCTAACATTAAAGCTACTACCTGTAACGTGATGGCTGTGGTGGTAATGAAATGGGGCGAAGCTACACTTAGTCCAGCGATCCAGCTTCTGTTATGATAAACTTTCAGACAAGATTAACTTTAGAATGAACTTTCAATTATATATAAAGTTTCAGTAATGATTAAAACCATTCTGCTGACGCATGTATAGCTTCGGTATCGTTGGGTCCTGACCGATAATTCCATCCACAAATAATGAACTAGAAGCACGCAACTTTGCGTGTACAAATCAGCTAGTAAAATATGTTTTACCGTTCCATCATACATTTCCGATGATTAAGGCTCTGTCAATCTGAATTTGATTAGTGGCGCCCCATTGATGTTGTGAAATATGTTTTATTTAATGTTTGCATTGGCTTTGTCCTGATACTTGAAAAATAGTTAGCAATTTCCAAGCTTAGCCTTGCTATATGCAAGGAAAGGCAACGCTCTGTCGAGTTCCAGAAGACCATTCGGCAGCTCGAGAACCCTAACCGTGTTTTGTACTCTTATTTCTATTACGTATTTCCCTCCTGTTACGTTAACGGGTATAAAATGAAGACCGCAGAAGAAAATCTAGGCCCGCTTTGTATAAATATATTTTTTGACACAGACATCCAGTTTCCTTGGTAGCAAGTCCACAAAACACATGAGTTTAAACAAAATTATATGGTACATTGTCCTGCTATACAAATACATGTATTATTAATAAACTTACCTAAAGTGGGTAGGTCTATCTAAGAAAATCATATATATACATATATATTATAGGCTTCATGCTACGCTAACCGTGAACAAGTCTTCGTACAGAATTCTATCGCTCATTTTTGTAGAATTTACATTTGTGACCAGCTTGAGTCATAGAGATTCTATGAGTTGGAACGTCTAATTATACCAAATGTGCGTTAAACTTTACCACTAATGTCTATTTTACTATTATTTGTTTATTACTATTTATTATTATTAATAGAGGAGTTCTTTGACAGCTGAAGTCGTTTTCTGACAGCCCCATAGATCACAGATCAACATACGAGCTTCTGTGGCACGAACGTCGTACACGATGCAGCTAAATAGGGTATACATGATACTATAGGGGTCCTTCATTGAAAATCACTTACAGTTCATCAAGTATAGGGACACTTGCGTGACCAGCATGCCACGTGGGTAGTATTAATGATAGTAAATAATGGCTCCTGTTAAATACTTGCTAGGATTCCTAAGGGCGGCACGTCTGGCACTGCTTGATGCTTGAAAGAAGAAAGAGGATCTCGTGTGTTGACCTGTTACGAACCCCTTTCGGTTCCAATGTTTTAGCGTATCGTTTATGTTAGGAACTTTCACCCAAGTATAGGATCCGTACTCCGATTTCGCTATAATAATCGTTTTACACAATCTACACATATATCAACCCTTACGTAAACGCATCTCGTCGTTATAACACAAACAAAAAAGATTTCTGAGATTGGCCACATGAATGAAGTATATATATTTTTTTAATTTTCGTATTTTAATGAAGAAATCCTTTGCGGCATCTACATTCATTTCTAAGCGCAGAAATTTTCCAATTATCGGCATCTGACTTTCGGAAACTTCTTTTACGAAAAAACTTCACGATCGGTAGCCACTTTCACAGTAATCCAAGTATTTAAAGTTATGAACGATCAAACTATACAAAATTAATAAAGCATTTATTAACGTTAATCAACATAACGCTAGTAAGTTAATATTAGCATTTATTATTGTAATTTATTCTTTTGTATATATATTATATAAGAAAAGGGTTCGTCGCTCATTTTGCTCGGCTTTCCCATATATTTTAAAAATTTTCGATTCCATTCATTACGTTCGCTGCAATTTTCCATCAGTTTATTCAATCACCCTAGAACTAGATGTTTTTCGTCCAACTAGCTGATCTTAGAAAAACCCTATAGTTTATACAGTAGGGCGGTCAGCAACGGATTATAATAGCCGTCTCTGACCTACGATGGACGCGCCATACAAATAGACTTTTTTTTTACGGAAGTATAGCAAAGTTCAGGTAGAAACATGGCGACCGACTCCATTGAGAGCTATTGGTAACAACAACGACACAGTTGCCCTTTTGTATCTACTGTCAATCTGGCCCTGCTCATCATCCGTTACAATTACTGTAGGCAAAAAATACTGCATAGAAAAGCTGGCCCCATGAACAATCGGTATTGCCACAACAGCTTTCGTGTCACTTCGATTACAATATGCCGAAGCAAGTTACGACAAATGGCGCCTGTGAGCGCTTTCGAAATAACAAGTAATTTAAAAACGCGGAAGTCAAACAGTTTTATTTTGTGGCGTTAACTACAGATCACAGTGCCAAGAAACAGGAGTAAGCTTTCCATGTATGTAAGTGCTGGCAGTTTTTTTTTTTGCAATTATTCGGGAAGGATCACAACACTACAAATGCTCGTAACTGGCTCTGCACCGCTGCCGGACGTCAACGGTGTTCCTGAAAGGACAGGAGGCTTCGGGACAATTGAAGCTGCTCACCTATGTGAATATACTTAATAGTAAAGCTTTCCTGAGAATATCGTATGCGAAACCGCCCCAAGAAGAGCTCCAGTTTCAAAAACCCGTACCACCATCGAGCGACGATTTCGCCGCGCGCGGATGTGCGGCCGAGTCTGTTTCACTATATGGATACCCATGAAACTATCTTTATATGAGTATATAGAGGCCGCACAAGACAAAAGCGGTCGTCGTGGTAATTCATGGGGGTTGATATTTTGCCAATGACACTAACGAAAAAGCCACGGATGACGTAATTGTGGTTGAGTCTTAATTATCGTTTGGGGGTGTTCGGTTTCCGTGATATGGGCGGCAGTGTGTAAGCTCCCGAACACTAGGGGCATTCTGAATAGAATCCGCTTCTCTGATGACTGATGCGTAGGCGCAGGCTCGTTCTCGACGTCGGCTCATCTTTTGTCACCGCACTCTGAGAATGGGAGCTGTTCTGCGCCGCAATCATGGTCGCCGAAGTGCTGACCGCTTGCCATGCTGAGTCCGTCGACGAGTCGATGCGACGCGTTACGTAAATGACAGTCACTGCAAACTGCTCCGATCTTACAAAGAATCTTGCCACAGATGTAGATGCCATCGCCCTGAAAATCCTGAACTGCTTGAAAGGCCTTGACGCATCATTACTTCTCGAACTTCTACAAACATTCGCGGCGAATCAGACATACGCGTTCCGCCTAATGTATCCAAATAAAAACTAAATAAATTCGGCGACCCTTAAGTTATCTTTGTCCAACCTTCTGCCGAGCCACTTCGATCAAAGTTTGGGTGTCAATTACTATCGGTAACTCCGTCGGCTACGCCGTCACAAGCTTTGTCGAACGTTATTCTACGGTGTCAATAGTTTATAATTACTTCTGGATGAGTATAGTCATCGCAACATATCGCTAGGCCAGATCCTTCGGTGTTTCCTCCTACCTATCACATGATGGGCTCATTTTTCGAGCATTTAATGATAAAGGGTTTCTACTCAGCAGACTCGATTGAGATGCTGGCCGAGTTTGCTATGCCGATGGCCGAAACAGCCATCGTTCCGCGGAATGATATTGCTCGTTTATGATGCACAGAGTGAGGAGGTGCTTAGTGATCTTCCACATAGCGTGAAGGAAGATGCCACTTGGACTCAACGTTACGAAAAATGCCCAAATGTCCCGCAAATACTGATAATAAAATAATAATTATCTCCACAGGAATCATAATGTAGAGATCACCCTACACGAGCGCCGCAGATGCTGGTGGCCAAATTTAGCTAATAGATACCAAATCTAAATGTTAGCAAAACTGTACGTAATGTCTAAAAATTTGCTTAAACTAGAGGAAAGAGACAATAAATTAAAGTTTTCAAACTATCACGCTATTTCAGGCACTGCCATTTCAGGTGACTGATCACTCGATTCCGACACTATACCACTTCAGTTCTCCACAAGTCATCATGGCAAAGAGGTTGCCACTGGATCATTAGGGAATCCATCATCGATCTTCGTTTTTTTCATCTGTTCAAGTGGACTGCAGCGTAAAACAATGAGAACAAGTTTGGCAGGCCACAATTACACAATTCCTTTTTTGCTGACAACGCTTGTTTACTTCCTGTTTCGCAAGCCGTCAGGTTTACTCATTTGTCGTTCATCCTCTCTAACACCAGGTGGTTCATACCTTTGGCTTTCGACTTAATGAAGTGAATTACTTGTCAGTTCTTGTCGATCAGCAACAACCGCCATAACAAGTTTATGCACGTATGTGCATTACGTTATATATAATAGCTTCTTAATATACTTATAGGTCTCGTAGCGTCCTTTGATAGCCGATGAACATTACGGGGTAGTTTCAGTGCACAAGTCATTGACACTTTTGAGCCAAACGGAGCTAGTGGAAACGTATACCCTTATTCAATCAAGGAATAATTATTTTGAAAAATAGTTTCCAAGTAAAATTGGCTTAACCCAGAAATTGCATAAAAAATAAAAATAGGTTGTTCAGCCAAGAGAGTAATCATTTACGTGCCGTACAAAAATACAAATAATTTTTTTGATATGAAAAAGAATGATTATAAGGGCTTTTCCAGTAGCCAGAATAAATACGACTGAAGTTAGGTGAAAGGTTAGGTGGCAGAAATATAGATTAAGGTGCCTCGTCCAACATCCATGCGATAATTAATTCCTTGGTTTCGATTGCGGATACTAAAAAAACAATAATCATAGTCCAGCTCAATGGATTTCGTTGAGTGTAGATCATTTAATTTTAATTTCACAAAAAAGTCGAGGGTTATCACTACTAATATACAAATATTCATGTAAAAATTACCGTAAGTCATATGTTCCTTTTTTAGGGGTGAGATAAGGCTGAACAACGTTTATATTGTTCTGACCTTCATTTGACTCATGACTGAAACTACATTTGTTTTAGTCGCGGTACAGGACACGCAATATGCAAAGTAGATTTGCAGAAATACGTTCAAAAAACGAAGGGAACCTCTGTGATCGTAGTGGCAAAATGACTAATGTCAACTATTCACTAGTCTACCTTTGAAGATCACTCACAACTGGCCCAAAACAAAGTCGACGCTCTTAATTTAACATGTAAAGCACGTAAAAAAATGTGCAGATCTTTTTTCGGTAGCTCTTACAAGCGATACCGTTGCCTGGTCCGTCTCGAATGGCTGGTGATGGCAGATGGTAATCACGACAAAATCGTTAAAATGATGATTGTAAATACTGTCATTACGCTTTAGTCAGATAGATTTTTAGTTGGGCGTTGAAATCCGTGTGACCCATCGTTGCGAATTTTTATGATGCTAGCTAGAAGTGTTTTTGGTTGACCCAGTTCAACGCTAAGCTACCGCGACGCACAATCCAGATTAACATAAAAAAAAAATGTTTTTTTACTCAATAGTAAATTCTGTAAATTTGCTATTAAAGATATTCTAGTCATCGCTTGGACCAGTGCTAAAATTTTTCTACGGCTATATCATACAGACAAGCAATCCAGATAATGTCGGTAGCTTCTGGTGCATGTTTGACTTTATTGTTATTGTTAATATCATTTTTATAACATAACCAGTAATCGGTACGGTTCTTTCCCTCGTTATATATTTTTTTGCAATCTATATATTTTTTCTATCCGTCGCTTATTAACAATACAAATGTACACAGCAGTTATTCCTTCATTTCTCGTCATATATCGATCTGGTTCGACTTCATATTGATCTTCTTCTTTTCCCGCATGTACCATATGTGTTTGTATCTGTGCCGTAAATGGCCTATTTATCGGGGCGGGGTGTACTTCCTAAGGAGAAGGAGCACAGCCTTTTTATAGCGCCATTTGCACTATTTTGCTTATTTGATTTAATAACATCACATGAGAATTTCTTTACTTACAATGCATCGAGCAATTCGCCTTCTTCGAATTTTATGTACGCACATTTGTAAATAACGGTTATGTACGGTGTGTGTGTGTGTGTGTGTCGTTTCGATATGGTCTTGCGACGATACGGCCGGCGATACGTATATTTGCAATTATTGATACCTATATATACCCCTGTAACAGAATTGTCGGCCCTTGTCAGTTTATTAAATCCTCTCTATATATCTATTTTAAACATTCACCTTAGTCCGGTCTTCGCTTCATTTTTCCCTAATGACCTATATGTCTTGACCTAATCAAAACATACAGACACACCCACACACGCGCCCACCCACAAACGCACACATATCACCTAACATTAGAAAATCATTTTAATTAGCCAGCCTGCTTCTTCCTAGCTATCTGCTACCTTTAGTAAATTGTTAGGTTTCACCATCATTATGATCGCCATTAACGGCGTTTGATTTTATCCACAAACGGCTCTGATTTTGGGAAAAGACGCTGCGGAAACAAGCATCGTGTGGCATCTATCTCGCCGTTCGTCTTACTAGCAATCTGTAGATCTCCGAATACCGTCACACACGAGGGTTACCTGGGACGATCAACAATCTGTCAGGAAAGGTGACTGAGTATCTCTTGCCTAAAACAGTCGCTATATACTTCGAAACGCCTGTCTCGAGTCCTCAAAGCTATGGCCTAGTAATGGAACTATACAGCCAGACAGATGGCTATTGCTGTGGTTGTTTGTTTAATTTGTTTTTTTTACGGTTTTACTTTTAGTACGGTTGATTCAAAGGCACTATCCCCTTCCATAGCGTTACCGACCGGTAAGACAGACTCATTCACCCGTATTCGTTCAGTTTTTGCTTATTTCTCTGCCCAAACGTTCTTTGCATATGTGTTAATTTGTCATATATGTCTCTTTATATTAGCTAAACTAATTAAAATACGTTCACATAATGGAACACTTACCATACTAGTTTATATATATACTTGCATACATCTTTCTATGCAAATTCGCCTGTCGACTGCTTACATATCATCCTGTATAAGGGTATATATCATCATATTTGCCATCTACGCGAACGCATAATTCAAATACGTCTGGCACCGCTTCGTTGGCAGTAAAAGTAAGTAACTCTTTTCAGCAGTTCTAGCCAAGTTCTTTTCTCATCTACTTTGGCCCGAGCTCCGTTCGTTCTAATTCGATCATACGATTGTATCAAGTACTTTCGTTTAAGAAGGCTGATTATTATAATTAGCAACGTGCAGGGAACTTGTATCTATTCCATTCCTAAGGTGCAACCTTACCAGCAGGCATTATTTAATTGTAAAGTTTATAAGTGTATGGACGTTCAAAAAAACCTAATGAAACAACATATATCAATGCAGATTAAAAAGGGTACGTAGAATAAATATCATGACTGAAGATAAGACACTACTGTATCGCTTTATCATCAATTCAAAGCCGCTTAAATATGATACCGACCTTTTTAAATACTACTAATACTAATTAACTAAATTATAAATGTAAAAGTTTCACAGCTTCGGGAGTTTCTCCTGCAACGACGTATCGTCTCGTCGTCTTCTTCTTTATCATCGTAACGTTAACAATAATGCCCCTGCATCTTCATGGAGCCCTCGATCAATCGCATAGTTGCTTATCATTGGTACTGGAAAACAGCTGCAACATCAACTTGTCTTAATTTGGTCTTCCCATGCAAGCGATCCCCTTCAACGTCCACGAGGAACTGCTTTCAATACAGGCTTGTCCTAAAATCTTGCTTCATCCTGCCACTTTACCAATTGTGTCAGCGCATTTATGACGCAGTCGGCTATTGACATTCGCCATTAATGACGTATCTTTGTTCGAGCACATTTTCCCATTAGCTAGACGAAGCTGTGGCAGTAACTACGATTACTAAGCAAGTCGGCCGATTTCTGGCCTTCCATAAAATCTAACAGCGTACACTCTTTCGTCAATAGGCCATCGTCCAAAAGGTAAAAATCCCCTCTGCTGTTCATGGCTAGCAGTTCAACGAAGTGGAGAAACCCCGCTTCGATGGTGGCACGAGATGTTCGGGAAGCTCGGCCGGAAGATCGTGACCGCTGAGTTTGATGTTGATTAAATGCATCGCGAGCGCCCATTCGTCAGCGTCAAGGTGACCGTCTCTATCCAGATCACTCAAGTACCATATCTATGAAAGGCGACGAGATAAGAGACATCATAAATTAGAGGGGTAGCAAACGAAGAACGATGGCACAAATTAATAACGTCGTCATCTATGATATTATCTAGCAAAAATTGCGTGGAAGAAAACAAATGATAATTTGTACCTTTCCAAGAACGGCATTCGGCAGTTTACTCTTGATCATCTCCTGCTTAGCAGCCTGACCAGATACTTTGCCGTCGACGGGCTCCAAACTCTGGAAGACCTCGTCGTAACGGTGGCGTTCCTTTTCAACGACCCATTCACTTTGGAGAGATCCAGCATCGATGCCTTCGCCACGGCCATATGCGAATGGTGTACCTTTGCTATTGTATGTTTTGCAAGTAAAAAAAAGAATTACAAATAATAACATCAAACAAAATTAGTAAGATCGTACGTCGTGAACTTGGGCCTCACCATCATCACCATTGATGGTTACACTAACGGAGTATATCTGATTACATATTTAGGCTACATATATGACCTAGCTACGTATGTAAGAGTCCCTGATATACGAATATCTCTTTATATCTAAAGATCTATGTTAATTTGATAACATGCATATATTGGAATTGGTAACTACCTGCCAATAGCGGTTAGTTTAGTAGTAAAAGACGATTGTCTTTAGTGTCATTTTTTTTTTAGGTTTTCGTAGATTTTAGTAGTTCCCGTTTAACAGATTTTGTTTCTCTATATTCTCTAGTGTTGTTCCACTGCAGATTCGTTACGCACCTCTCGAAGTGACCGCCGCGGACTACCGCTTCGTGTTTGTGATCAGTTTGCTCTTGGGGAATCATCGCCATCACCTTGGCAATATCGACACCCAGCATCTTATCAACGTTGTCCAACAGGCGTTTTTGTAGCGGGTGGAACTTCGTGAAGTCATAGTTGAGCAGCTTTTCCTGCATGTCCTTAATATCAGGGAAGTCACCCGCTGAGATCTGGTGCTCCTTCTGAATCTGCACATATAGATTACCGAGGTTCTTGATAAGTTCCTTCTTCTTAGTGTCCTTGCCAAACATCGAAGGCATCTCGTTTTTCAATGCGCTGATTATATAGGCGTGGACCTAGACGCACGTGTACAGAGGCAAAATTAACACAGGAAACTTTTAGTTAGAAAGACTATATTTCTTATACGTTGCCTTTGGAGTTTAGCAGACAAATTTCAAAATAGCACCACCGAGACAACATCTGTATGTTTTCGCTTTTTTGTACGAACGATTACGAACGGCACGCCCCGCATCCAAATATTGGGCACAGTATTGTTATCGAAATTTAATCAACGGTTCCTAACTGTATCTATTTTGTAGACATAAAATCGTCTAGTATAATCTTTAGTAATTATTATTAATTAGTCAATCTAGTATAATTCAGGCAAAAGATATAAGTAAGTCCGAAAGAGTGTAAGCTGAAACTGCTCAAAGACCAGAACCGTGATCAGCAAAAGTCGAGAGAGCAAAATGGCGACCCGGACCTAGCCGGGTCCAGATTATGAGTCAAGCACACTGGGGTAATGAATCGTTGTGATTACTAAATATTTATCAGCTTGTAGAACCGTTAGATGTAACTGAAGATTCAGACAAATTGAAGATGCAAATCCGACTATGCAGGTATGTTACAGCAGCATGTTACCTTGTGCTACAAAACAGCCGTAACTGTAACAAAAAGAGAGCTTTTATACGATCCAGCCTACACGGGTATTCCGATAGTGAAAATCGTGAACATTTTCAGCAAACAACTCTTTCTCTGCATTACTTCGTTCCCACGTTCTTTGCGATTTTTGATAACAGGAGTCAATACGATGTTTATACATCTACGGACTAACCTAACATTTACCAATTAGGTTACCACCAAATCTATGGATGGATAACCTTTGCAAGGTATTCTATTTCTCTTATCCTTCCCACATTAACTTCACTCAATGTCAAGGAAAACACAGCGTCTTTGTAACGGTGAGGTAGACGTCGATCGAAATACTGACATACCCTGTTCATCTTTATTCACCTGGCGTATCTATGGAGACAGCGTATAAGAAGACTGCATGCCCTTTAGCGACAGCTTAATGTGGCGTTACGTAAAACTCAAGCTTCGTTTAACACGCTCTTTAGATTTAATCATTGTTGCTGCTATTACTATTGTTAGTTTTTTGCATTAGTAAGATGTACAGTGGCTATGGTTGCAACGTTATTTATATTCGTGTTACCTTTGCAAGCCTTGCTCTCTTGATAAGATCGTTGAGTTTTCGGAGTGCAGCATTCCTTGGTAAGCTCTGAATATCGGCAAATAGATCCTGTTCCTCGGCTTCGAACAGCTTTCGATTGGTGTCAAACCCAAGCGGCTCAGACCAGAATGAGCCAATATAGACACGAGCGACCTCTGGCGTTCCCAGCACTTTGCCGAGCGACCACATAAGGGCGCCGTATACCTGTAAAAAAGGAAAATTGATCAACTTAGACCCTGCCAGCTGTGCTCGATTGCACAAAACATATCTGTAAAGAGAACAGTTGGATTCTACGCCCAGATCAACGAAATCGATATGATTTCATTTTCTACTTTCAGACCTGTCCGTTTAACGATAGTGGCAACCACAATATATGATGACATTCAATATCTAATGAACTCTTAAATGGACCGTCAGACCTTTATTGTGAACACTACATTTCATTGTAAAATATCAACGCTTAGTTTCGCCAAAGAAAACGACCAATTTTCCTAATCTGGCAAGCTCAATGGCCCGTTTTTACAGCGCCGCTACTTTTATATTTCAACGTCATTGAGGAGGGCAGACGAGACTGCATCGAGTGCTATGCACGATCTGAATCTAAGTTCGGCAAGTAGGTGCATAGTAGTGATACTACCATTTATTTATCAACACATTACGGCAGCTCCTTTGCTAAAATCTGCTAATATGGAACTGGCCTTATTTGGCTATATGGCGGGCTGTCTGTCAGACGAAACAATCATTTAGAATACTAATAGCCGATATGATACCTGGAATGGCTAAACTAGAAAACCACTCCTCATGTTGTTTTCACAAAGTATGAACTAAAAATGACTTCTGCTATTTGGAATGAGTCTATTGATGAGGTAGGTATCTTCTATGTTCAAATATACACAGCGTCTGTAACTAAAATAATTTCGCTTCCTTTAACGGAAACGTACACGCATCAGCTGCTGTGCATTGACCATATCGGCTTTGTTGAGTACGATCCGGATCTTGTCGTCGTGTCCTCGAAGCGCCTCAATCGATCTTCGAAATTCATCCGAAATATCAAGCTTGTGCGCGTCAAATAGTAAGATAATGCGATCGACGCGCTCGGCAAACCACTCTAACACACCAGTAAATTCGTAGCCACGATCTGTACGCTGCTTCTCGCCAGATAGAATACCTGTTCAGGGAATTGTCAGGAAAAAGCGTGCAGAAATTAGTGAAATGGCCTGAAGTTAGCGCATTAAAACGGTGTACTTTTTCGTGTCGTCTCTCATCGTGCACTTACGTACTCGTACTATTCGCGATCAGCTTCAGCTTTTTTCCGAACTAATCGAAAGGACGCACTCAGTAGCCTATTAGCGGTGTCTTTTTCGGATAATATCAAATTCACAGGGGCACATCTCAAAGAAACGACATATAATTAATGCCAACGAGTTGCCGGAGTTCTGCCAGGACAGCCTGGATTTTCGTAGAGCAAAACGACCGGCTTACGTACGAAAAATCCATGTAAAATTTTTAAAAATTCGTTGGGTTAATCTTTTCTTTCGTTATTATTATTCATTACTACAAATTCTAAACATGGGAATTCTCGACTGCGTTAAATTTCTACTCTATTTAAGACGTTTCCTTTTTGTAACAACTTATGTTTACATGTATCTCGTTCAAATTTAACACCATTAACTAACAGTCGGCTCAGGCCAGCAATCAATGGAAAGCTAATAAATTTAACTGTCGATCCAAAACGCGCCATACACCCGCATTCCCTGGTGAACCTAATTTTTTAGACAATGCCCTGACACTACCACCTATCGCAGCAGACCCTCAGTGAAACGACGATTGTCACCTCTGATATGCTGGTTAGCTTTTTGGGATCAGATTAATTTTCGGGGTTTTTTTTTTTGTTTAAAAGCAACGTTTCCATGTTGACAAGATTTTACGAACGGCTCTATTTATTTATCCGTTATCTCTATAGGCCCTCAACATTACGAGCGTATTCACAGTTCAGCTCGCTCACCAAATATAGACCGAGTTGTGTCCTTGGAGCACAGCTGTTTGAAGCCAAGTTTCTAGCGGACTTCGCTGCTGTCGCATGGTTACTATCTTGTAGAAATGTCATTTTTGCTTTAATTTCGTTCTTAACTAACGTAGCTTTATATATATAGATGTATATAATAGGTGCAGCACACATCTTAGCAAAAGCCTCGCTTTCGACGGGTCAGGTAGCTTTATTTTAAATAGAAGATGTCTTGATTTTGCTCCACACCAAATGACTTCATGTTTCAGGCTGAAAATCGTATCGCTTCTTTAAAATTCAAATTTCTATTGACACGCAGAATTGACGCACCTCTGGCAATGACAAACGGTCTATGCACGCATACACTATACCACGCGTGGAAGATGACACGTTTTCACCTCTACCCATAACTGTCAAATGTAGGCGACTGAAATGATTTATCAGCATTGCCACCCTTGCTGTTCGCCCCCACGTATTTCCTCTTCAATTCACGAAGCGTAGGCCGTTCCGATACGTATGTGTCGCAGTGTCAGAACCACGCTTTATTTTGCCGGCAGATACAGACAGTTTCTTAGAAGGTATTTGTACCAAGATGATAGGATGGCAGTGAACACGCTTGTTGGCTTTAAAGCCAAATTAATGGAGATCGTGCATGAACTGATTCATTTCAATTGTCTCAGTCTGACACGCGCATACGCGTCAAGCAGGCGGGGTAGCTTATCTTTTAGAAATGTCTTTTCATACCTGTGCTTCATTCCAAGCACTCGCCGCAGTCATCGCGGTGGCTGAACGGGTCGATTTTTTTTGTGCGCGCAAGATAGTCCCGTCCAAATATAAAAAATCGTCGCACAACGAAGTCAAGCTGGTCGAGGTTTTCTCAAACACCGCCATTCTGTTGGAAGGAAGTGTCTAACGAGATTATGGATGTGCGTGTTTACCCTGACAATGTCATATTGTATAAAGAGATCGAAGAGACTTTCATGAAGATTTGCTAATAGTGTAAGAGACCGCTACTAGTTTACGATCACAAGAGAAGACCTTGTTTCTCAGAGATATGTCGTGTCGTAGGGCACGCGCAATAGAATTGCGTTGAACTTACGGCGTCTCGACTTGTTTGGATTAGTCACGATACCTCACTATTATTCTTTCACCGTTAGTAACGAAACGTTCGCATTTTACGAGATGGTTCAGGTAGCATCGAAGTAACGGTACATTACTAGTAGATAGTGTTATTATGATTTAGGAATTGAAACAATATGTAATCAAATAGAAATAGATGATTGTCTGGCATTCTCGGGAGCTGTCTTATTTGAGTTTGTTATAGGATGAGCCACAAAGCTGCAATGCGAAATGCTTACATACACCAAACGCTAGAACGGTAATCATAGGCATAAAGCACATTCCCAGCTTGTAGGCTGTTGTTCAGACAAAAAAAACGACAATGTTGCTGGCACATATATATGTGTACCTGTCGAACTAAGTCTTTCATTCTTTATCTATACGACTCCATTGTTTGTGCAAAACTTACTGCAACCATAGACATTTCCATAAGCTGTATTTGTCCTATATTAATTATTCCGTCATTTTAACTAATTCAGATCTGAAGCTACGTCTATGCTTTGTGACTGGCCGTGGCTAAGCTTATGATAGCCTGAGTTGAGGTTTCGGGCATCACCTTCTCCCATCACTTCAACAAATACCACGTTCGTGATGACGTTTCCCATACTATTGCAGCAACAATTAGCAGTGGAATAAATTGACCAACAACTCTGTCTGTGCTTAACCAACGATGTTTGAACGAACAACAAAATAAGAGCTGTCCTGCAGGCCATATTTGCGTTCCTTGTAGTCTACAGAATACGCAAAAATGTCGTGTGAACTATGACGAGAGATGAAAGAAGCAATTACAAAACAGAACAAGTCATATCAATAGCAGCTATTACGAGATCGATTTAATATCTTGCCCCGCTTTTATTCCAGTAAGCGGCTAAAACGTAGCTTCGATGTTGTCTGAACAAGCCTTGCAGATATGTGTTCTACAAAGCATCAAGTGAGTTTCTTTGGGAGCTTCCCTACAAACTTAAGGATAGTAAAGCGGTAAGCTAGACCTTGCGAACTAAATGATACGCTATTTTTTTCTAAATCGTTTTGGAAAACGTTGTTTGGGGCGATGTTTCAAAAATTAAGACCCATGCATAGACGCATTTACTTGCCACCCTGCTTACCTGGCGTATCCACAATGGTCAAGCTTTGAAGGACGGGCGAATTCAGTGTTGAACATTGCAGCCGATTGAGGAAAGCATTGCCAAACTTTGCCAATGGCTTAAACTGTTTTTTGGGGTCAACGACGAGAGCGTTACCGGGAATCACTCCATCGGTTTCCCCGTACATCACCGCTATGAACCTATCGGTTGTAGGTTCAGGTCCGATACGAATACCGGGAAAGTCGCGCTCCAGTAGGTATCTAGTCATGTTAGCAGAAGAGAAATCGCGATCGTTAGCACAGAAAACGATTATAACCTAAAGCTCAATAGAAAAATTGTATGTTCGTTCGAAGACCGATAAACTACTGATCGTGCATTGTACGCTATGGTCGTTGGCAGAAACTTACTATGAAAACGGTCTTGAGGAAAAAAGTAATAGCGTGTAGTGATGTGTGTTGATTTTTGGTCAAATGTTTGCCCCTTTGCTACCGATAGTAATAGAAATACACAACTTTCGCAGCAAGTCAATTATTTTAATGATAATGACAATTATGATAATAATGAAGGGCAACAGGGTGCATACATGCACGTACAGAGCCCACATGCGTAGGCGGCTGTTGTTTTTAACGGACTAAGAATAAAGTTATATATAGATATAATCTGTGTGTTCTCTCAGACGTTCTTCTACTGCAAATTGTTGTGGGGCATATGTGTGTGGGCTGGCCCAGGCCTTTTACGTGAGTAATAACTTAATCGCGTTACTGAAGTATTGCATATATCTGCTAGGTAACGAGGTGAGTAAAAATGCTTTGAAAAGCAGTCTAATGGACGGCGGACAGTTTCAAGGGAAATATTACTGTTGTCATTTCAAAGATAGAGCAGTAAAAAGCAGGTAGGATAGTAGATGCCATGAAGAAGGCTGAGGCAGCTTATCGTATTAATATTGCATTTAAGTAAAATTTTGACTGTATAATTGATTGTGATAGAAAAATTACTCCCTAATAGATGGCCCTACCTATATATGCACTGAAAAGAGGTTACTTTAGAGGGCGCGAATCAGCCAGGTGGCTTGCGTTGGTCCTCTGATCTTTAGCAGTGGCTGCGAGTCCGAATAAAGGCTACTTATTTATGTATACAGATACCCAATTAATACAATACTCGGTGTCCTTGCCTAATAAAGGTTGTTTTTCCGGTGGAGTACTGGCCCACCAGCAAGACCATCGGTTTGGCATCAAAATCTGGATCATCGAGCTTAGGCGAATGGAAGTCGTGGAAGTTGTAGAACGTCTCTAATGGAAGAATCGTTTCCTTGTAAATTTTTTTAAGACCTAAAATAAATGGATATAAACGAGGAGATCTTACCAAACATTCTGTGACATTCTGTAAAATGATTCAATGAAATATTGCACCGCATTGTAAGCATATTTGATATCAATATACGCTAGTCTCGTAAACCTTCACTCACAATACATTTATGCTAATCATAACACTTAAGAGGAAAGTTTACCGTCTGATACAATTTTTTCTTACAGCTGTAATTTATAGGCTGATAGCCGACAGTGAGGGATTAGTTTACCAAATATAACTTTATTAGGCCTATGTAATGAAAACTGTAGGCTTTTCGTCAGCCTTACGAATGCTACTGGCTAAAAAATGTGGTTATCAAGAGCAGTCTTTTAATAAACTTTTCATTTTTTGTAATAATAACTCCATGAATTTCCTTGGACAATACACTAATTTTTTTCTAAGCAAATTCCCCTGCCTTTGTCACTACCTTTTGTTCGGAATTTTTAGTTATTAATCATCGAGTTAACTACGACACATGTCCCTGCCAAGAGGTGGAGTGCGAAACAAATATTTGGGTTTGTCAAGTAGCCCAATAAGGCTTTTCTCATGTCATAGAAACGCGCGCCTGGCCTACGTGTCGGCCGGATTAACGGTTATGCCAATGGCCTGTTTTTGCATGCAATCAGCTCAAAGTGACACTAGTGACACCTAGAGGTGATTATAATAATGATAATCCTAATGCCACGTGTGAAAATAGATTGTTCCACTTTGACTACTACAGGTACCTCTATTAATGTTAAAAAGAAAAAAAGCCTTAATGGAACAACCTGTCGTCGAGTTTAAGAAAAATGAAAAATGCTGCGAAATGAGTGGAGCACATTAACTTCAGTTGGTGAAACCAGTAGGTGAAAAGGCATATTAATCAATTGGTTTCGCTTAACTACAAGCTACTTGGGAGTTTTCTTATTTGGCTGATTAAAAAAAGGGGAATAGGAACTTCTCTTATAGATTTGCTACATCTAAAAAAACGAAGAAACCCTGTTTAGTTTAAGTTAGTATATAGATAGATGTTGGCCAGCCTACTTCCTAATAGATAGTTTAGCCTCATCAATTTTGGTGAGACTGCTCGCTTACAAGTGGGCCTTGTATAGATTTGATATAAGCATACACTTATAAACAGAAATTTTCGATACGAACACTGATGAAAAGCATAAGGAATTTGCGTTTTCAATCTTTTGTTCCCAAGCGCCTTTACAAACTAATACAGGACCTGTTAGCTTTATTAGGTCTAATGGAGAAACATGGCTGCATGTTCCAGTGACTTCGTGATATATTGAACATAGAACCGCATTCTTATTGGTGTGGCTTAATGCCCATATACGAATCCGATCCTCGACGATACTAGCTCGAGATCGTGGCGACGGGTAAACAAACAGATCCTTGTATTAGCAGATAGATGAAAGGTGTCCGAGATTTAACAAGCACTACTGCCCAGGAACGAATAGCGCAAAACAAATAAGGACTGCTTGTGATCTCATCTATCTACTGCACATTATGCATACTGTACACGGTACGCAGGTAAAACTGGACGATAGGACAATACTGCAGGTGTCTGGTCAACTTCTCCTATCATTGGTTTCAAGCCTAAGTATAGAGACGTCGTTTCATATATTAGATGTACTTTGACGAACGCTTTCATCTCAGCTCGTCGTCGCAGACGTGTCAAGCAGGACCTACAGCAATGGCCTCGGTGGTCAGTTGAACGTGGTTGTAGGACGCCTGCTTTGACTCAATGTCGCTGTAATGGTATGGCGTTATAAAGTAATATCGCTGATATGCTACGCAATGTATAGAATTACTATAAGTTGGAGTTCTGGGCTATAACAAAAATGTCCAAATAACTCAGCGCGGTGGCTTCGGCGGTCAGGTTTTTGGTTGGCAAAAACCAGGAGCTGCTGGCTCGACTCGTACAAATGAAGAAGATTATTTATTAATTGTACTCGTTCTTATATTATATATGAGTCCGACCGGACGTTGGTAATTTCAATATTGTTAATGCTGTGGGGGTACTGCGAGTAATGATAACATTAGAGAACGTATACGGTGCATAAAATGGGGCTCTGATTACTATATCATGAACAAGAGTTCGTGTAGAACGGTGTGCGCGACTCATCATTCGATTCGGACCGATTGTACACCATAAAAAAATGAATTAAATCTGTGCCTTAGATTTCCTTAACTGACAGAATTAATTACCTTTGTCATACTCAGGCAAAATAGTGTGCACAACGGGCGAGCTGCCTATCGTGCGTAAACGGTGATTTGTATGAATAAAAATATAAGAAGGGGATCCCACATTCAGCCTATACGGTCAATGGAATTAACGGAATGCTATTGTTTTCCATTTTTTTTTTTAAGAACAAGTCCCGTATCGTAAACTTTAGACCGACACAGCTCACCTGTTACGTTGAAATAATCCATGGTTTTTTAATTAAATTTTTAATCGACTTGTGGAGTTTCAACAATCGTTACTATTAAAGAGGCTGCATAAATTATCTACTAATGAATTAATTCAACTGATATAAGTTTTGTTTACATTGCTCAAAACCTATGTCCGGATATTTACGAACCGAGTAATAGATTCAGTCAAAGCTTGCTGAAATTCATCGGTCGGATTTCGTACCACATAGCTTGCGGTGTTTTGGAGAGTAAGGAAAAAAGCAAAAAAAAAATTTTAGAATATGTTGGAAAGGCAAGAAGCCACAAAATTGATGAATTATTGAACATTTACATACACATATAGAGTATCAGTTCAAAGGCATTTCTGGAATCTCGTTTTTTTTATCGTCACTTTTTGCAAACACTCCGAAGAGCCCGGTCACGTTTGCTGTTCGTGGTGACACTGTTACGCGGAACTTGCAAGGGTTTTCGATTTGGAAAAGGTGTAGCTTCGAGGACGTCGTCGCTTGTGATAGAGTGAGTGTCGATGACTTATAAAATCTTACAAAAATACACTATAAAACAACATATTCTTGTTATTAACTATTAGTTTTTTTCGTAGTATTAAATCAGCTAAAAGAACTAGAGCGTTTAAAAGTATGGTAAAAACAAGTGGTTGTGAACATGTGGTGTTGTATGAGCTAATTTTTCGCATCCTGTGTTCGCAGCTATATAAGTCCAATAATGAAGAGGATAGCACGGGTATTTCGAGAACAATAGGAGAGTAAGTCTATTGATTTATCTCGCGTTTATAGTCGATTATTACTTCTTTCTATGAACTAATGATGAATCACGAGCGATGACGCACGAAGAACAAGTATGCCCCTGCTGACATATTTCGCAAAACCCAATCTCTCCTGCTGCCTACATAACAATTTAGAATATTCTTTAGCTCGCCGCCTATAGCTTTAGAATGGGACTATGGCGGTAGATGTGTTAGGGTTGAGCCTCCTTATTAGGGTTAGGCTCCTTTATTGGGATCGATTCGTAATTTTTGCGAACGAAAATTAAATGTTCTATTAGCTGGCAAAATTTCCAACAAGCCTTTGTGCTCACATAAAAGACGGTCTAGAATCGATCTAGTGCATGCACTCAATTGTAGAATAGCTTAATTTTCATGAGAGAATTTTTTTCAGACGAGAATTACAGTACCGTTACTATTACTAAGAGGAACTGAAAACTAAGTACTTACTGCCATCTTATTAACAAAGGGCCGTTGTTTACAAGTCGTTACGATAAACTAGACTTTAAGATATCATTACATGCGGAAAACAAATGTCTAGTTTTTGATGGTTACCCATAACCTGGCCATCACTGGCACACTAATGATGTACGTACAATTCAAAATATCTTCTACTTATTAAAACATGGTAAATAGCGTTATATCTCAATGTTATATTATCGCATTTATATCCAGAACGCGCACGGTTATTCCCGTTCGATCAAAACGATTTTTTTTTTACATTTCTATAAATATCCCTTATGGCACCTATGAATAATCTAATATAATGTACCATATCATTTAAAATCGAGATCGAACGATTCCAGTAGTCTACTTCATCGATTTTCCTCCGAATTTTATTAGATATTCATAAACAAATCGAAATTTAAATAAGTAGAGTCATTGTTGTAGTACCAGATGGTTGCCTAGCAGTGAGAAAATAAAATAATTTCCATCAGCATAAAATCCTCAAAAACGAAAACACCTGCACTATAAGCAATCGGATATGTCCCTGTTCGCTGATGGCGAACAGATGGTACTGTGGTTTTGTCCTTCCTAAATATTTACACTTTTTTAGCTGTTTCTTTCACTAGCCTCGAAGATAGTGCCGCCGTTTGCCACTAGTTCAACTGTTGTATCGCTTTCATTGTTCCTCAGCAATAGCGGCATGGCGACCAAAAGCTAACATTTACTTAACGGCAAGCTAGCAACGACCACAATAGAGAGTGGTCAAGGAAAGGCGTCATTATAAGCAAGTTACATCAAAAGATGCACGATCATCTTCACTTGTCGCCGCTAGGAGTCATTTTAGATATGTGTATACTGTTTTTATCCACCGAATCAAGCTGCAGAAAAGCGCAACTTCTTTGAATGGTCGTCTATTGTAGTCGGCTCTTTAGCTTCAAAATGTCAAAAAGCTAGATCACACCATTTTTTATTCTGACGCGTTCAGATTTTGCCTTCGAGGAAGTTTGTGGGTCGGAAGATTTTTTCGTCGGTCAGGTTTGCTCTGTTTTCCTATTACGACATATTTTTTTTGGCTATGACTAATTAGAGCTGGTCATGAACATGAAGTCACTAAGTAATTACTGCTGTCGGAGTAATCCTCTCTGATCATCCCGACACTATGCATAAAACATTTACAGCGGCAATTTTTCCACCTTATGGAGCGTGAGTATGCAAGGCATGAAGAACATATCCTACAACAACGAGGAGACCACTGCCTCAGGTCGAAGCGATCACGCACACCAATCGTTTTCACGTGCTGAAGTCCTCGTTGAGCTACTTGTGAAAAAAAAAATCTATCTAGCGATTGATTGTTATATATATA